GAAAAGGAGAAAAAGAGAGGGAAGAGAGGGGGGGGAGAGAGAGCGGGGGGGGGGGGGGGGGGGGGGGGGGGGGTGTTTGCAATCGATTAGGAAACGTTTCGTATAAAATTGCAAAGGAAGAATTGCAAGGACTTGGTTTACGATCTAACGACTACCGGATAGAAGAAGGACTCACAGAACGATTCGCCAGGAATACCACTTCACTTGCGTCACTGTGGCTGTAGCGGCCAGAAAGACGCACCGGTGCGCTGTCGCGCACAAAAATGAATCCAAAGGAGTACACGGGGAAAATCTGTGATAGATCTCCAAGGCAGATAGACAAACGGAGAGAGAGACACGAAGGAAACCAGCGTTACACCACCGCGTTACACATTTCGCAAAAGCGCCGGATCACGTGTCCTGCGGGGCAGTGCAGTGTATGGAATAGTCGGACAAGCAGGATCTCTCCCCCTTTTTCCGTCTTATCCTGCTCATCCCCCGTACCCTGCCGTGATCCATCCCTCCCTTCTGCCTTTCCGGCTCTGTCAGACCCATTTACAGAGACGTCAGAAGTTGCCGGTGTCAGTGACTTTTGGATAGACCGATGCTGCTTCCGGACAACCGTTACACTCTACACGAAATTACTATAAGGGCGCTATAATCTATACTGTTTCCAAGATTTTTATTCGAAAGTAACGTCACGCCTGGCGTGAACGAGTGCTCGCTACATTTATACAAGGAACGTCGCCTGTAGCTCAGAGAGGCTGTGAGTATCGTCATCGTATAATATCGTAATTAACGAAGATACCCGGTAATTCTTTGAATCGTTCTTTTTCAACTGGAACGACTTGAAAAACAGTTTCGAGTTCAGAAAAAAAAACGAACAGAAACAGAAGCGTACAGCGATGCTAAACGCTTAAGATTTCTTTACTTCTTTGCGAAGTCATTGATGTAGAGGTAAAAATGCTAGGGAAAATTACAGGGATTTTGTAACTGCCGATGATCGTGCGGTGCGTGCCACAGATATCGCATCAAAAAGATAACAATAAATGAAAGTACGTTTTTATACTTATATGTATAAGCAAAACCACATTTTTTTCGTAGGAACGAAAGTTCGATTTATGAAGGATAGGATTTACTCGGAATTATATGATAATTTTATAAACAATTAAACAATTTTGTAACTTTTTAAATAAAATTATCAAGGTTATGTAACAGTTTTTACAAAATGTCGTACAAATTGTTTGCTGCATGTACCGATAATTAAAACAGTGATTTAAAGCAAAGATTCTGAACAATATGAATTTTATTTTAAACGGTCCTCGGTGTAAAATTAAATGAGATAGTATTTTAAATGGGAATTCGTGTTTCAGCAAATGGAATAAAATATTTATTGAAAATTAATTTTGTGCTATAAACGGTATATAAAATATTAATATCACAATCAAAGAATCTTTGAAATAAGTGCAAAATAAAATAAACGAATTGTAATAAACTCCTATCGTAATCATCGGTATAATTCTGTTTAGGGGATTTCTGACATATTTGATAAAATATATACATTATTTTTTAATACAACTCTATTTCCCAAACTCCACAAACCACTAACTTTGAATTATATAAGAGCACAATATTGAAAGACAAAATATGAAAAGAAAACTTTTGTCATATGAAAGTTTCTGTAAATGAGTTTCAAACAAGCTGTGTTGGCATCTGTCATAACTGTACATACATATATATATGTATACATATACAATAGCTTCAGACAAAGGTATTGCACAGATATCTGGATTTGTGGGAGTCATAATCCCAATTGTGAGAATTTAAAATCTATTTGTTGCACTTGTGTGTTTCTTTCTTTTTATGAATTCCTCCTACATTTCTCTTTTACATTGTTACAACAAACAAATTGTTGTTTATCGCAAACGTTTGCAAGTTTATTTATTATTTTTTTTATCCGGCAAATCTATTTTAATTAATTATAAAACAATTATAAACAAATTAGCGATAACATTGTTGCGACTTTCAGTTCCGCGAAGTGTGCTACACAGCATTGTAATCGATAGACTTTATTAGCCTTTTGTTATCTACATTACCTTCGATAAAAGATGCAGGATATTTGCCTATGCATACTCTTTAATTACACAAAATACGTAATTCGATTTATTTAATATTTTCTAATAACAAATTGTTGTCCATCGAATACGAAACAAAATGTCGAAAACCGAGATTAGAAAAGTGCGCGTAACGTGACGGAATAATTAACATTAAATGTTAAATAAATATATAATTAAGTAACACATTAATATATTTTTATCTTTATCCGCGTTTCTTATCCTGTCGATTAATAAATCCTTTCGTACCTCTCGTACCTCTAACTATACGATTCCAAGCTGCATACTTTATTCATTCTTGCGATTCGTATATTTCTTCTTTTTACATCACAGATTTTTTTTTAATTTTCGAAGAGAGTTTAAGATGATTCATTTCTAATAAGATCCTTTAAGGGACACGTGTTGCAACCATATCCGGCCAACTCGTGCGACCTCGTCATTATTGGATACGGTTATAATTGTCCTAGTATACTTAATGAACGTTCAAGCAAATTACACGACATCGAAATGCTCCCTGTATCGTGCTCTAAATTGATATTAAGCCCGATGGGGGAGGACTGTTGTTTCAGGACGAGCGTGCGCCATGTGAACGCAATGGAAAATTGCTCGCTTTTCCTAACGTATACAATTTATAAAGTGGTTTTAGCGTGGCAATCGGAAGATTATATTTTGCAGTTTAATGAAAAACTGCTGGTTCGATATGTAATATTTTTATACATTTGGCTGAGTTATTATTTAGTCTAATTCATATATCTCACTGGCAAATTATAAAAATAAATAACTGCTTGTTACAATTTTTCTTCGATCCTTTTCCTTTTTTTTTGTCTTAAATAAACGCGTATCACTATTTATTGTTCTTAAAATTATAAATTTTAAACTGTGAAAAATGAATATATCATAATAGTAATTGATCAAGAAGTTCAATAGTGTTTTGAATCACCGAAATATGTAAAATCTTTAAAAAAGCACATGAATCGACAAAAAATTTCAATGAAAACAATAAAAACGTAAAAATAATAGACAAACTCATTTTATTTATAAATAAGCATATTATTATTTCTCATAAATGCAAAGATTATTAACTGTGGAAATAATAAATTTAAGGAATGAATATTGAGAAATTGTAACTGTATTAAAATGTCATTAAGGAGCTCGTTACCTTCAAAATGTACACAAGAGTATTAATATTCAAACGGAACGTACCAGATAATCACATAGGGTAAATTTTAATTGTGGGAATTTGTCGACGAGCATACAATTTGTGTTAATACTCTTCGTATTATTTACACAATCGCATTCGATGATTATATTAATTTAAAAAATCGTGAATACATTTCATGATTCCGAAGATTGTTCTCCTAGAAGTTCTCTAGAAGAATATCTCTAATAACTTTTTAATAAACGATGTAATATTATTTGAGAAAGCTTTCTCCAGCATTCCTAAACCGTCTCGATGCTACGATGTATTTTTCTTCGTGATAATATGAATCGCTCGCATAATTAAAGCGCACGTGTTTTACAATCAAAACAACGTTCTCGTTTACATGTTCCGTTTAAAAAAAAAAGCTTCCAATGTTTACAAATCAGTGGTGTAATCAATGAAAAAGAAACTGTTTATCTTCTGAATAAGCTTCTTTCATCGCGTAGCCAATTAAAGAGCACGTGTATGCGAGATCATCGACTCTCCAAGATATCCAATATTTGCCAGATACATACACGCGGTATGTAATGTAACATCGCGAAAAATTACGATTACATAGCTGAAAGTGGCGGCTGTTATTGTCGTTTTATTGTGACGAATCATCCAGATGTATTCTACCATACGAACCGTCGAGTGATCCACGTGACGTAGACGTTCAGGGGATGCAGCAGGTGTTAGAAGCAGTCCACATCCACACAAGAGTAACACGTTCACGTTAACCAGCTATTTACCTATGTGTGAACATACGAATAGCCAACCGGGGCGCATACTCGAGATCAATCGCAAAGAAAATCCTGCGCAATCGCGAACCTCCTCGATGCTACATGAACATACGACTTTCCTCGGCACGATAAGACACTATCAATTTCTCTTAAAAATCCCATGTTCTTTAAAAGGAAAAGAAAAAAAAAACGTAAAACGATAAATCATGAAAACGAGCACGGGGTACATTCAAGCCCGCAAAAGCTTCGTACAATTTTAAGGGTAAATACAATGTTGTATGTGTCTAAAACACATATGTACGTAGTTCGAAAACGTCATATGTATACGAATAATATGAAATTATTTAGGAAAAAATTACTAAATTATTATAAAATAAACATTTATGGACAGTTTTTGATAATATTTCTTACTCGAAGAGATGATGTGTTGCAATATGAAATAAAACAGAATTGGTACAATAAATAAAAATAAAAAAGAAATTTCCTTTTTTTGTTAGAAAAATACGAAATATTTCGAGTCGATAAAAATGAATAAATCTATTTCTCTAATTTGCATTCCGCTAATATTAATATATCTACCCAATCAACCTACGTTGAGAATTAATCGGGCGCGTATTTTATCCCGAGCTTTTTCTCGAGCGAAGTATTAGAACACGCAAAACTCGGGTAACAATCTACGAGCGAATTCTATCTCGTTTCATTGGAGAAAATTAGTGAAACACACTTACCTCGTCCCAACTCACTGTCCATTCTCGTTTAGCCAGCTCGAATATCAAAGTTCCTGGAGAAATTCTATTAATCCTAGACACTAGAATGAGGAGTTACATCTTTTATTCGAAGAGATCACGAGACAAAGGTCCATTGCATTTACGTTCGTTTATTTACTATTACTAAGAACATCGTCGTCGGAACCGAAGAGCACAGCTCTTATTCGGTTCTTATCGCAAATAACTTCAACAACGATCGCCGGTATAGGACGCGGTGAGTATCGGTAATTTTACGTTTGCAAGAATGCGGTATAATTACTTCGGAAATATCACCTAAATGAACCTGAATGAGATTTGTGTTCCTTCGCGTCTGTTACAGGTCAATTTATGACAAACGATTCACGCTTCCTAACGATTGACGAGGGACCCATAGAACACTACCGGTGTCCGGCGAACAATCGGACACGTTACTTACTGGCCACGATACCAGACGCCACTGTCTACATGGAAGGTCACTGTTTCCTGCTATTAGCCGGCAAACTCGATCGGAAAGTCAAGCGATGATGTACGCCGCTCATATAATAAGTTGATATACCAACCGCGACTACCAACGAGCCGCCGCAGACGTAAATCGCAACGGAAGGCAGCGAGCGGAGTCGTCAAGAGGATTGCATTTGCATGCAGCGTAACACGGTCCTGTAGAAAGTGAAATGGTAATCGCCATTGGTTTGGTCTCGCGACAGAACAGGCTTCAACGAGCCACGTACGACTACGTCAATCATTGAAAAGTATCTATCCCAAGCTTATTATTAGACGTACAATTCAATTTACATAATGGATACTTGACATAACGACCGACTCTGTATAAGATGAAATAATTGAGCTCAACTTCGCGTAGAATAATCGTTTGTATCGGATCCCTAGAAAAGTTATTATAATTTTCTGTGTTTACACATGATCTTGGAACGGTATAGATTCTTCATACTTTCGGTACGATTTTCTAAACTTTAGAACTTTGCCGACTATTCGATAGAAACGAGATCAACGACCAAAATCAGGACAAAACGTTTTGTCTTGTTGTGGAATAATTATTAAGTCTTCAATTAGAGATCTCATAATAACTTGACGCGATGTTCACATGATTCAGAAATTTTTATTACAAAATAATTACAACTGCGGCGGTACATCTTTCAAACATACTACTGATGCACTAATTATTCAAATACACATATAAGCACATTTAAATTAATGGATATAGTACTGTACAAGATACTTTATACAATACGAAAAATTAATCAATTGTAAATCGTACTGAAAATATAAAGATTATCACATTGGTGTGTTGCATTACATATATAATATACTTATATACATATATAAAGCAACAGTTTTATAACATAACTCTCTATATACTCTTTCTTTGTATGAAATGATAACATGCTATGCTGAGGAATGTGATTAGTCAACCTTATGTTAATCTTTACACAGATAATTTGCCGCCGTTTTCAAGGTCAATTATAAGTACTTAATTTAGATATCGAATCTTCGATATACGAAGTCGAAACTTCTAAAATACGCAAAAAATTTCAATAAAATATAATACTCGTAAGCGGCGCGATATATACGAGATCTTTTTCTTCTTTCTTGTTAGTCCATCTTTTCTTGGCTATTGGATTTTGCTTTCGATTTTGAAGGAAATATTACGAACAAAGACAATTGTGCCAAGGAAAGGAGAAAACCGACAACGTTCTGGAACTTTTATAATATAAAACATTAGTGTCTGACAAATACGTGAGGATATGTTATATATTTACACAATCAACTGTTTACTTACGATAATGAATGAATTATTAATTATAATTCCATATAATAGCCATTGGAAAGTAACAAGTGTTCCCATAAAAATAATAGGAAATGGAAGCATATCTGTATTTTTGGTCTTTATTATCTCTCCCTGATAGAAAGAGAACAAACATAGGATAATAATTTGTACTATGCAACTATAAATTATGTGTACGTGGAAAACTTTCAAAACTTACAAGATGGAAAAGCGGAGACATGATTAAGAGGAGCAATAGTGCCGTCACGATTATACCAAATCGGAATTCGATCTTCTCAGGGTTTTCCACTTGAGCATATGCAAGGAAGACCGCAACAAAGGCTGTAGCCTTGCCTATTAAAGCAAGCGTGTCCTTCTAAAAATTTGTATAATTCAGAATCAAATCTATTAGCAATTTCCATTCTGCGATTTCTTCGTATCTTTGTCTGAGAACATCATTAATTAATTAATTAACGTGAATTTGAATACGTTAATTATACCGAGCTTAATTTTTACCAAATGAGTCTCACTCTGATGTATTAAAAATACTTTCCTAATGTTTCAATGCCTATGAATATTTATTGATGGATAATTTAATCTACGTAGACCACAAAAGGATATAGCAGATAAGAAACAACGTAGATAAGAAGGGTGTAGATAAAACAGAAAATTGTCGCGTCATAAATGCAAGTAAGCAAGTGTCTTATACATTAGCGACCGTACAGAGACTGACAATTATAAAATACAGCAGGTTTATAAAAATTTTGTGTGCTAAAGGTAGATCGACCGCTTGAGTTTTCAGCTGCAATACTAGTATCCGAATTACCTTGTCTAATACACCAGCCACACTCATAATACAATAAGTAAGAATAACAGTATATAAAGCACTGTATAGAATATTTACATTTATTATAACGTTAAATAACTTAAACTATGACACTTAACAAAATTAATTGTCCAAAATAAATAAAATAAAATATATCTAAAAGATATCCTCAGTGACCTGCCCCAAAATAATATATATTTGTACAATGTGAAAGAGTAAGATTGAATGAAATATATTTACTTGCTTCAATTTTCTTCTGAATTTCTTATCACGTCCAATTTTGGAAGTTATATTGTGTACAGTAAGTTATACTTTTTATATTGAAAATTTATTTCAAAAACAGCAGAAGCAAACTTTAATCGGAAGCAACAGCATGCGTGTTATTTTATAAATAAGAACTCGTACCGTTTGGGATGAGTAATAGTAATACACAGCCATATATGCCACATTTGCGAGTAATCCAAAAACATTAACATTAACCATTGCAGGATCTCTTACAATGAATGCATATTGAAGCATCAAAGTGCACCTATAAAAAAAGTTTAATTGACTATGCATATTTCAAATGTATCGTATTAGATAGGTATAAACTTTACTTGGCAACTACAGCACAGTTAGTTGAAATTATAAAACAAAAAGTTTTTACGCTTACATTCCTATACCTCCCAAGAATGGCATTGGATCAAAAC